CAATGACTCGCGTAACCTAGGCCTCAGTTTTAACTCACCTTTCACAGCCTGCGTAAACACGCCTCAGGGTCAGCCCTCCAATCGATCTGAGCTTTTCTCATGCACATGCACCACAACACAAAATTCACCCTTTCCTCAGTCGTATAATTCAAATTCAAATCACCACACTTTCGGCAATGTCAATCTGACACGCCATCACACCCAATTCAAGTCATGCTCTCCACATCAGCCTACCGATCCGACATTCAAGCCGGCACATTTAAATATTCCATTTCACCCACAAACGTCACGACAACTCAGTCATATCACCCGCCTCAATCAATCACTAAATTAGCCACACAATCACCACCACAATAATTTACAAATTGGGCACAATCAATTTAACTAATCCACTCCTAATTTAATTCCTAAGCCGGTACTAAATTACACCCTAAACAAGTTTAAACATACCCATTATACTAAGTAGGGTTTAGAAAGTCACTTACTAGGTTTTGGCCCGGAAAAAGTCAGCTCGGGCCTAAAATGGCCCGGGTGAACAGTGCAGGCTCGGCACACGCACGGGCACGGCGGTTGGCCACAGGCTAGGCGCTTGGCACGATGCTCGGCAAGGCCCTCGGCCATGGGCGCAGCACTCGGCCACGCATGGGCAAATGGCCGGGTGAGCGAACGGGCGAGCGGGCACGGGCGGGCGACGGCCAGGCTACGGGTAGTGGCTTAGGCTGAATGGGCGAGGCGCTAGCCACGGCTTGGGCGACTTGGCCGCGGGCCGACTGGCTGGCCGGCGAGCTGCGGCGGCGACGGCGACGGCGACGGCGACGTGGTGGAGACGGCGAAAGGCGAGGAAGAAGAGAGAGGGGAGTCGCGGTGGCGACGGGGACGCTGGACGACGGCGACGACGGAGCTCAGGCGTTGGGGTGGTGCTGGGGAGCTGACCGGACGGCTAGACGGCGGCTGGGACTCGTCGGACGCGGCGGCAAGTGGCGGCGACCTCAGGCTCACCGGGAAACGATAATCGGTTCTGGCGGTGGTTTGGTCGGCACGGCGGCGCAAGGAGGCGGCACGGCGGCGACCCGGGGGCCAGGTGAAGCAGGTGAGTAGGCGGGGTGGACGGAAGAAGCGGCCGGAGTCGGCAGGCGCGGCGGCAAGCCGAGCTCGCACGCCCGGGAGGAGAAGAAGGCCAAGTCGGGGCGGAGCTGCCGGACGACGCGGCAGTGCGACGACGGCGCGAGGAGGACGGCGGCGTCGGCAGTTGGTGGGGTAGCGTCGGACGGAGGCGGAGCAGAACCAGTCGCGGGAGGAAGAAGGAAGGAGAAGAAGAAAGGAGGAAAAGGGAGAGAGAAAGGAGGAGAGGGTACGTGCATGGGGCAGAGAGAGAGAGAGGACGTGCGGGCCAGGGGAGGGGACATCACGCGTAGGGGAGGGGCGCGGCAGAGGGTAGAGAGAGAGAGAGAGAGAGAGAGAGAGAGAGAGAGAGAGAGAGACTAAAGTCAAACATCGCACTCGAGTGCAATCCGACGGTCACGATTCGAACCCAAAGTCGATCTAACGGTCCATGAAATTCCTAATTAATAATATAGGAAAAATGGCCAAAAGAAAATAACCTAAAACACACTACGAGGGAGGTCTACTAGTCCAAATTCGTATCCAATCAAAAATCCACTTTTCACATATTTCGGGCAACATCGAGGCTGGCCATAATAATATCGACACCGTCCAATTAAATTCGTCCCGGAACTCCGAGAAATTCGACACCAAAGTTTGGGCTCTAAATAACGGCCAAATTCAATCGAGTGCGATTCTAGCGAAATCTCTAATTTAAAAATAATAACCCAAGAGTGATCAGTTTCGGGCGAGATTTTATTATAAGCGCACTAACGAATTACACGTTTTATAAATCCCAAAAATGGGACGAAATTCGGAATGTCACATTAGAGACTATATTGAACAAATTAAAAGTTCAGGGATCAAATTGAACATTGGGCCAAAGTTCAGGAACTGTTTATGTCATTTTCCCAAAATTCTTCGTGTCGTTCGTGCATTGAAGGTATACTCATGAATTACATCCAAGAAGAATTATTGTTCAAACCAATTAAATCTAAAATTTGCTTTAATTATTTTTAAAATTGAGAGATTATTTTACGAGGAATCATTAGGGCTAAACATTATGAGGGTTTTTGGGTGTAATTGGGGTTGGGAAACACTGGTAATGTTTGAATGACTCGAATGTAATTGTAATCTCCATTATATCGTTTGATTTATAGTATAATTTGTTGCTGCTCTTCCCGTGAACGTAAGTTGTCTCGATTGAACCATGTAAATTTGGATTTTAATTTATTTTCTCACTCTGTCTATTTTATTGTTTGATCGCTTGCTTCCATAACTCTATCTGTTAATTTAATTGTTGGAGTTTTGGTACTTGTCTTGTTTTCTTTGAGTCTATAATTTCAATTTTTCTAATTCAATCCTTAATCTTTTGCATTTTAGCCAATTTAATTCATTCGGCCAATTTTAGCCGGTTGGCGCTAATGTGGATGCTGGCTATTCGGCCAATGCTGACGTGATAATTTTTTTAATATTTTAATATCTTTTTTTATTGTTTTTCTCTTTTTTTTTACCCTTATTCCCTCTAGCCTGTCCAACGAGGTTAACCTCGCTAGCCTCTAGTCAAGCTCGCCCCTACCAGCCATCGGCAAGGGCGAGCCTCACTCATCCATGGCTAGGCAGGGTTGAGCCAAGGCAAGGCTAACCTCACTGTCACTAGGTTCATTATCGTCTAGTGACGACAAGGTCGATGGGAGAGGTCGAGCCTGGCCAAGACATTGCAAGGCCAACCACGCCGTCATTAGGCAAGGGAGAACCCAACAACGGCAAGGTCAACCTTGCCTTGGTTGGGCGAGACTCGACCAGCTAAGGGTAGGTGAGGCTTGCCCTTGCCAGTGGCTGGTGGGGGCTAGCTTCGCTAGAGGACAACAAGGTTAACCTCACTAGCCCTTGCTTCTGGTCGGACCGACCAGAAAAAAAAAAGAAATACAAATTTTTGAAAAAAATTAAAATATTACAAAATTGTCATGTCAGTATTGGCCGGCCAAGATTAGTCAAATGGATTGAATTGGTATGCGAAAGGTTTATGACTGAATTGACAAAATTAAAAGGTTTATAACAAAATTGGCAAAAATACTATAGGTTTATGACTTTTTGGATAATTTTCCCTTAACTAGACTAAAATGTCTAACGCCTGTTAATTGGCACTTTTCCTTTGTTCTCGATTTGTTTTATTACTAACATTCGCTTCGGTGTCCATTCATAATCCAAGCCAAGTAAGCACACAAACAAGTTATAAATAAAAACATAATAAATCTGACAAGACCCTCGTGAACAAAGCATGGAATATGAATACTAAGGCTCCGTTCGTTTGGCGGAAAATATTATCCTTTTGGAAAATATTTTCCCGGAAGTCATTTTCCTGAAAAATGTTTTCCTAGAACACAATTTTCTGGTGTTCGGCTAAAATCTGAAAAAGTTTTGGAAAATATTTTCTGGTGTTCGGCGACCGCCGATCCGGCGGCATCCGGCTACCGGTGGCCGACGGCGACCGGCGGCGGCGATCGGCGGCGGCCGGCGGCGACGGGCGGCGACCGGGGGCGATGGGCGGCGGCGACCGGCGGCGGCCGGGCGGCGACCCACGGCCGGTGACGGCGACCGGCGGCGGGGGCGGCGATCCGCGGCGGTGGGCGGTGATCCGCGGCCGGCGAGCGGCGATCCGCGACCGGGCGGCGGTGGCGGCAGCCGGCAACCGGCGACCGGCGGCAGCAGCGGCGGCCGGCAACCAGCGACGACGGCAACCGGTGGCCAACGGCGGTGACCGGCGATCAACTTCCTCTCCCACGGAAAACATTTTCCCTCCCATGGGCAATTTTACCTTCACTTTGGGGGAAAATGATTTCCTCTTTACGAAAAAAGGAAATCATTTTCCTCAAAACAATGAAGGATTTGGGGTGTGGAAGGAAAATGTTTTTCCACGGAAAACATTTTCCGCCCCCGAACACCGGAAAACGCGGAAAATGTTTTCCGAGAAAATATTTTTCCGAAAACGAACGGAACCTAACATGCTAATTATTTTATCTATATGCAGTTGAAATTTTGCACTTTTATTATAAAATCCATCATAAAATGAACTACGTAAAAGTACAAAGAAATATATACTAGTATGAAAAATATGAAACGAAAAAGGGTATGAAAGAGAAACAATACATTATTATTATGTTAAAAGGGTTTACAAAACTATAATTAGATAGCTTTGCCCATTCAATTGGTAAGGACAACATTTTTATCCTCTGCAATAACCTTCAAGACGTCCACAGTTAATTGTATAGTCCATTCCTTCAACAAAGTTAATCCATATTTCCCACATTATTCATTTTTCTCAAAACAAATAGAGTCTTCTAGATAAATATCATCTTAGATATTTCTCCAGAATATCCTAGATATTTCTCTCTCTAGGTAATTCTAGAGAAATATATCCCTAGATATTTCCACATCCTTCTTAAGAAGATCTTTCAGCAAAATTTCTTAATATTTAGGTATTTTTCAAAGAGGAGAAGAGATGCAAATCTTCAACAATCATCTACGCCAATGTATATAGTTTATCTGGTGTGACATCGTCATATTACTGGAGGATCGATTATATTTAGATCTTGAATGCGTGTTCTTTGACTATATATTATCTTTCTTGATGAAACCTGCCTTTATAGATGAAATTTATCTTCCTCCCGATAACCCCATATTGTAGTTGTGAAATGAATAGTTCACAGGTGGAGGAAAAAGAAACAAACAATGAGGCTACTTTCCGATAAAATCTTGCAAGAGAAAAGAATCGTTCAAGGACTTCTTTTGATTATTCGAAAATGATTCATATAATTGTGTTTGGACACCGGTCCCGGCTCGCTTCTTTTTCGATCGATACACGCCAATCTCTTAACACGCTCTTTCACGCATGCATAGAGAGAAAGAGCTCATTGTTAATCTTCAAAAGAAACAACTAGTAAAAATTTATTTTGATATCATAGAAGATTTATGGATTTCCATTTCGTTTCAAGGAACTTTTTGCCCATTTCCTTTCCCCTCGATGTCTCCTGTGGAACTCTCCCCTTGTGAGCATTTGCACACACAATGTAAGACTCGACACGTGCAACAACCTGGTGGCCCGTGGCAATCTGCGGGCCTAAGGCATTGAGGAAGTTGTGCTTCCACGCTTACTTGCAAACCTGCCAAATCACGTCAATTCATTGTCAACATCTTCCGTATTCTCATGCGCAGAGAGAGAGAGAGAGAGAGAGAGAGAGAGAGAGAGAGAGAGAGAGAGATCACCGATGGCAACTAGCAAAAACATGAGCAGCATAATGGATGTGGATGATGGTTTCCCCATTGCTCCCAAGTCAAAAGGGCTTCTGCAGGGATAACAGGTTAATGGTTTTGCCTAGGAGATATGCTTTCGTGATCTGTTTGTTCCATGATGCACGTAATATCAGCGTATATATAAGTCAGGCCACTCGTAATGGAATGGTAGACGTTAATGTTTTTCGTCTAGCTAGTCAAAAGAGGAAGCCAGATATTGTCTTTCCATATATATGAATTTGCAATTGCCTCGTATATTTCTTATTTACTTTACATCTAAACATATACAACTTCATTAGCATTAACCAGCAAGTTATTAAAATTAGTGCCAATCAAGCAATATTTAAGCCATCCACGGGGGATCGTGCACCCAAATTGTAATTTTTTCAAATCGGTCAAATGAGATATCATTCTCTTTATATCTTCTAACATTCTTAAGTTAATGAAAACTTCTTATCGCATGCCAGACAAGGGGTCCACTGATATTATTCTTGCTCTATAATATGGAATGCTCATAAAATCAAAGATTGAAAGCATTTGCCTTCATTTAAAACTAGTATGATGCTGTAAGAGCAACTTCATTACTGAATTTCCATGGTGATTAAAACTCGACTAGCAGGTAAGCCATCACAATCACAAGGCATAGTTGATCCTTCCATTTGATCTGAAGACTGCATTATCATTTTTCCAGAAGGTTATGCACAAGATATTCAAGCCCATTATTGTCAATGTCCAGGATATACATTGATAACATTCTCCTCTACAGTCCTGATGAAGTCTCACTATGCGCTGCTCAAGCAGTTTGTTGATCTAATAAGAAATACAACAACATGTTATCCCACAAAAAGTGTGGCATCCCAGACACGCCACTTACTAATGCATTATTAATATTTTCACTTTTAGCACAAGCGGAAGACAAAACACAATCAAATTAAACATTTCTCGATCAGGGGACACATCCACAACAAAATACCACATCTTCATTTCCCACTTTTTATTTATATACAAAAGGTGATTTGGATGACATCCTCTTCAAGCATGACAGTAAAATTTCATCTGGGAGGTCAAAATGGGGTCCTACTTCCCTAATGCAGCTACATCCACAACTCCACCCCTCTATTTGTCGCCACCACCTCCATCACTACTGACACTATCAGGATAAGGGGTCGGTGACATGTTCAAAGATCTGTAAAAAATGTGTCAATGATAAACAGTGAGCGAAAACTCAGCCAACTAAACTCTATTACGCCGTACTAAACAGATAACGACATGCATCTCAATAGAGTCAAATGGATAGGCAAATAAACCGATTCACATCCAGCCACAGCATACATAATTCCCTTTTTCATTCTCACCCAGCCGCCAATATCAAGCAAAGGAACGTTGATCCAAGAACAGCCACTCACACGAGCACACATTGCATACGTTATGTGACAATAATCGACTTCATTCACCACTCCAAGACACATGACCGGTGCGCTCCCCGGCCACGCAAGGAGGAAACATCCGGACTAGCAAGATCTGGTGCGCCCAGACCGGACTAATGCGGTATACGCTGGATTACTCAACGGCCCGCGCAGGCTTCGCGGTCCCACTGGCCACGGCATCCCGTTCGTACTCCCGGGGCATCTAGGGCATGGCTCTTCCTAGGCATCGTGAACCATCGGTCCACGGCATCCCGCTTTCCCGACAGGCTCCTCGAGGCATCGTCGTCCGTAGACAGATGGCATCAATCATCTCTTGTCACATATTCACACCCACAAACGATCCGCTTTGGCCCGTCCCATACCGAGGCTCACGGAGTCACAAATTCCCACACACAAACGATCCTTTCATTTTTATTCGGCACATCTTTCTCATAGAATGATACCATGTCTCAACCAACAAATGAGGCACTTCATTATTGCCCACAAACTGTTCACAACCAAAATTTCAGATTCTGTGCTCTCAAAGATCACTCGATTTACATAAGCATTTGACATCGGATCAAGGCCAAATAAGCATCGTTGAAAAGCTAATTAAGCGTGGTTACTGTCTCCAGTAGACCAGAAATCAAATATCCATCGTTTTCCAATAGAAAATTCGAGATTTCTAACAATGGGTGAAATCGGGTAGTTTTGAGCACTTTGAGAAACCGAAACCAATAATATAGTAAATGACCTCGAAAATTATGAAATTTAAGTATGTCGTATAAAAGAGCTTAATAACTATTTTTCATGAGAACACAACGCCAAATTCCTTAGGTAAAGACCACTTTTAATAGCTCAAAGATGGCCCAAAATTAGTCCGTTGAAACAGGAAAACTGAGTCACGAACAATGTTGGTTTCGCCAATCAAAATATTTTAAAATACTCTGAAATTTTTATATGTAGTAGAAAATCTCTTAACAAATGGTAAGAAGGAAGTGTGACCAAATTCGAAAGTGGAAAATTTTATAAAAATTGGAGAAGACACGAAGGTCCCAGATTTAGCGGTAAGAACAGTTCCGATTCGGTATGAATTCGGACCTTCGTATGACCCATTTGAACTCAGAAAAATCTGAAATTTAAGTATGTTATAAATCAAGATCTTCTGAACAACTTTTATGAAGATCACTTTGCAAGATTCTGACCACAGAAGGCGCTACAAAAATAGAAAACAGGGAACGTTCAGAAAAGTCAGATCTGGATTCCGTGACACAATTTCAAGAAACGTTTTTTCCAGGTTCAGATCCGCCACTTCCCAGCCAAGAAAACATCAACCCAAGAGTTTAAAATAACATGCAACACCTTTCCCAACTTAATCTAGCTATCTAGATCCGCCACAAACCGTTATAGGGGGTTTAGATACACAAAAACAGAAACTATACCACAGATCGTCCTCTCCTTTCGCCCTTCCAGCCATCTTAACGCCTCATCCAAGACCCAAACCGACATGCAACCATTAACATGGTTAGTATAAGGTGATAGAGAGTACTTGCCGGCGAGAGCGGTGGCCGCGGCCAAGCTGCTGGTCCGAAGCGGAGACGAGACGGCCGGCTGTCGCTGCTGGTCAGCGGAGGGGCTGTCTTCTGGGCGGCCAGAGAGAGAGACGAGAGAGAGTTGAGCTGAGGCGAGAGAGTGAGTTCGCAGAGATATGAGAGGGAGTGAGCTGAGGCGAGAGAGAGCAGAAGGAAATGCACTTCTCGAATGGCCCTTTAGTTCCCCTTGCATGCATGGGCATGTATGGTGACACTTGGCACCTTTCTCTTGCCAATTGTAGAGGGAAAAGACAGTCTAGTGCCCCCTACAGTTCTCTTGCGTGCGTGGCTTGCATGTAGGAGAAAAGACAAGACATAACAAGACAAAAGGGAAGAAATGAAGAGGTTTGGGGGCTGCTGATGCGTGGGGTTTCCGGCGGGAAAAAGGGGAAGGAAAAAGAAAAGGGAAGAAAAGGAAGGGAAAAGAGAAAAAGAAGGGACTGTCCGTGGCAAGGGGAAAAATGGGGAGAAAAATAACGGCAACGGGTTTGACACGGAGTCGGGTAGCGCGGACGACGCGACGTCGGGTTAGTCGGCTCGACGGTAATTGATCCCAAGAATCCAACTCCCAATTCCAAAAAAAAAATGACAGTCGCAACGCTAAACTTCCAATTTCATTTTCCTAATCTCCGTCGACGAGCGCCCTAATCCATTAGGGTAATTTAATCTTTGGCCATGAAATTTCAGGATGCCACAAAAAGATGTTGAAAATACGCGGGAATAACCTTTGGGCAAAAACTCTGATGTCAACACTTGTACCCTTGGGTCAAATTAGCATAGATGGTTTTAAAATATATAGGAAACCGATACCTTGCCAAAGTACAGTAGTGGTCTAGTCAACGCTAACCGTCTTATGTGGCACGGCCAGTGTTAACGTTAATAATTTTTTGCATTTTTTTAAAATTCTCTGATTTTCTATAAATTTTTTGAACTTTCCTTTTTTTTTCTATTTTTTTTCCTTATTACTCTACTGGTCATTGGACCTTGATGATGACCAACAAGCTGCCATAGCCACCGAGGCTCAACCCTTGCCGGCTCAAGTGAACCGACAAGGGTTGAGCCTCGCTTAGTGTCGCGACTCGCCTTTTGTGCAATTAATTGGGCAATTAGAAATAGGTATCAACACTTAGCCTCACTAGCCATCATCGAGGTTCCCCGATTAGCGAAGGAAGAAGTAAAAAAAAAAAATTCAAAGTTTTTAGAAAATTCAGAAAAGTAAAAAAAATGTAAAAAATTGTCCACATGAGCACCGACCATACCCCATAAGATAGCCAGCATACATTGTATGACTATACAGATGTGACAATTTTCTATGCTCTTTGTAACCTTTGTGAAATAAACGTTTACACTGCCCACAAGATACTAAAGATGTGATGCTTCTTTTACATTGACGCATTTCCAAGACAACTATTGCAGGATCTTATTAGCCTACGTTCACAAGGCATCACTACAACTTGTCAGCTTCATCGGTTTTGCACCTTAAGAGTTATATGCAATTTGCAGCAGTTAAGGCTCCAATGGCCATATTAGGAGCTGAGATAGACCTATGTCACCACTGGAACTTCTGAAGCAGTTTGAAAAGATTTTAACTGTCAAATCTGAGATGAGATTTAGAGCAATAAGAGACAAAGATTTGATAGCGAAACTCAAAGTATCTTTCCTAGCGACTGTATATTGCACTTGGATGGAGCGCAACCATAGGCGGTTTCAAAACAATCCAACTGACATTCAAATTATTTTGGCAAAGGTGCGGAAAAATATAAGAGGTAGAGCTTCGCTATACCAAAAAATCAAACCTTCGCAAGCTAACGTTGTTTTAGCTACTTTATGGAGACTTCCTACCTCCATATTCTCGAATTATTAGTACTAGTTGTAATGCCGGGAAATGCCCCTAAGCTGCTGTACATCATCTGTTATATACTACTTACATTTTACACCAAAAAAAAAATTCTGAGATGAGATTGAGATAAATCACCTATGGTTCTTGAGTTCATTCACTGAATATTGCAATCAAAATACCAAATGATAGAGACTTTTTTTTTTGAAGTTCTTTATTTTTTATATACGCTGAGAAGAAAATAATAACTCTTTGATGTGCTGAAGATCCT